AGGGAGAAGGTCGGTGCGACTCACGAATAACTCCTTTTATTTCAGCTATTTCCCCTTTTAGTTGATTGATGATATCAAACAGCTCAGTTTCCTTGCGTGTCACTGTTGCTGGTGCTTTAGCAGCTTTACCTTTTGTCGAGGTGGAGAATGGCTGGTCTTGCCCACCCACTGCACCAACTGCTGCCTCCTGCACTGACTGTGCCTCTGCTTTTATCTCTCTTACTTTCATTTCTCGGGTGGTCTTTCTGAATTTTTGTTGCCTCTCCCACTCAAGGCTGGCCGCTTCATTTGTCTTTGCAATCAGCACATCGTCAGTGACTGCTGGATCATCCAGGTAGAGTTTGATCTGGTATTTCACATTGTCGCTAATCAGACCTGTGCCAACGGCTCGCAGAAACTTTTTCTGAATCAGTTCGACACTGTATTGTTCATCTGTTCCTGGCTCCCTTGATGATGCTAGGAGTCTTTCTTTCAGCTCGATCGCCCTAAATAGAAAGTTCTGTGGGGACTCATTACTTCCTTGAGTGATATTTATCAGACAATGATAGAGGTCAGTAGAGCTATCCTCCTTGTAGTGTCCCCTCAGTATGGTACGAAGCTGCATGAGGGTGAGGTCCGTTTTAATCTCCAACATATCACGGAGACTTAAGCCTGGGCTTATGGCCCTAACAACAGCTTCAATAATTTCAGCTTCGCTGTGATTCTTTTTAAGTCCCATTTCGATTTGATGAATCAGGTTGGAGTATGACAGTTTGTCTTTCTGACCCCATTCCGCAATTTGGCCACTGATTCTAAATTCCCTGCGTATAGTCACTTCAGGGGCTGTGTTGCTGGTGAAGCAGGTAACGGTGATGGACGAGTAGGTAGCTGTGCAGCCAGACCCTGACTAGTTTCTTGGGAGGCCATTCTGTCTGTCAGTCTTGCCATTTCTTCCTCTAACCTTTTGTTGAGGTTTGAAAACTTAGTTGCAATGCTGCATATTGTTCTTGTAGACTGGCCAATGCAACCGCATCCCTACTGATACTCTCTTCACGTTCCTGTGCAGGGTCATCTCTTTCCTTTAGTTCTTTAACAGTTTTAATTAATCTGTCCAGGAATGTGTGTGCTACTTCCTCTTCCTCCACTTCAATAATTGTTTCAACTGCTTCACTTATTGTTCTGATCAACGTGTGCTTCTTTGTCTGTTTTCCGATTGAGATTTTAGCTTGTAAACAGGGCCGTTGCTAGCCATTTGGGTGCCCTAAGCACAAATGCTTTATGGTGCCCCCCCCCCCCCCCCCCCCGCCACTGAAAAAAAAAAAAAAAACATTAATACTTTTGAATTTCTCAGTGGAATTTGTTTAATTAAATAACAACAAACATGACAGTTAAACAAATAAATAAGGTTAAAGGAGGTTAAAAATACTGTTACAAATAAATACTGAAACAAAAATTGAACATTGGAACAAGAACAAAGAGCCTGGCAATAATGTGTAATTTTTTTTATAAAAAAATAATATATATAATATAATAGTATTATTATTAATATATTTACAAATAGTTTCACAATAGAATTTAAATAAGAAACTTAAATAAGAAAAATAAGAATTTGAACACAAAAGCCACATTCCTTAAGTAACTATGTTAAACATTTTACAATTCGTTGTCAGAGTATGCCCTAGACTCTAGGGCATACTCTGACAACCAGAAAATGCAGGCGTGGTGTGCCTCTCTAGGGCCTAGAGAGGCACACGCCTGCATTTTCTGGTTGCAAAATCAGCTATAAGGTCATCATATGATAGCTTCTGAGCCACGTCACCATTGATGCTGATAACAGCCAGACCACTTAAACGTTCCTGCCCCATTGATGAACGCAGGTACGTTTTAATGAGTTTGAGCTTTGAAAAGCTTCGCTCAGCAGAGGCAACTGTGACAGGCAGGGTCAGTGCAATACGCAGAGCAATCCACAGATTGGGATATACCTCTTGAAGCTGATTGTCATGTAAAAATGACAGCATTTCCAAAGCAGACGTCTGTGGTGGCAGCTGAGGAAGGTTGATGATTTCCTGCATCATCTCAGGTCCATCAATGTCAGCTACTCCCTTATCTGTCAGTGTCTTCTGTACTTCAGTGGGATTGTTGCAGGGTCTACAATGGCTGGTGGTTGATGTCCAGGGATGGCACTACTACTGGATGGTTCATCCTGTCCTTGAGATCCTCCTTGAACATATTTAAGCATTGACCCTGCATACAAGAGAAAATATTCAGGGATTTTACAGAAATACAATTTTGAATCTACAGTAGGCCTACGAAAGATTGCATTATAAGACTAATAAATTAAGTAAGTCACTGGTACATTTAAAAATTACTAACTATATTTTACATGTATAGATTTTCATAATGGCAAATGGCAATATAAACATGCTGTACATAATTTGATATAAATGCGCAAGTAGGAAATCTATATTACTGGAAGATATAGGTTTCATATTACAGTTTCACCAACAGATGTCGCCCTTGATCTATGAACCTAAAGAAAGACGAGAACTATTTATGTGTTCAGACGTCAATGGCATAAATAAGATATGCGTCTTTATAGATATCCTGAAATGCAGCAACATACAAAGTAATCTTGTCTAATCTGATAATAATACTTGTCTGCATCACTGACCTATCCCAAAGTTAAGGTTAATCAGTAGCATGCATGACGTTAGCCAGCTAGCAACCTGAGGAGGGAAATGCTAGTCTCACGAATCACGATAACGTTAGCAATCGTGAGTCACGATTGCTAACGTTATCTGAAAACCGTCAATTGAGTGACCATGATGAGTTGCTTTTAGTAGTCCATTCTATATTCATATCCACAACGTAAACAAACTACCCAACATCAATCATTTGCAACATTTGTTAACACAGTATGAACACTGCTAACAGGAGCTATCACAGAGTTGACGGACATGAGCGTGCAAGCAAGGGCTACAATAATGAACTTTTTTATTATTATTATTTAAACATTGCCTTACCGGCAAGCGACGCCTGAGTTTCATCACGCTTCCTCTTCTTCTTTCTTTTCTCCGCTCCCGACTCCTGTTGCCGTTTCGAGGCCATGTTCAAACAGGTGTTTACCAATTATAGAACAGACCACTGGGAGTGGGGGGCACCAGGAGGAGACTGGAGACAGGCACAAAGCAGATTCACCCCTTTTCTCGGGAAAATTGTTTTATGTTGCTTTTGTATTGTTTAACCATATTAATGCATATGATATTTATAGTATTAATATGGTTTACTTTTTTTTTTACGACCCTGATTTTTTTGGTGCCCTACCGGCCATTTGGTGCCCTACGCAGTGTGCGTTATGTGCGTTTGCGGAGCTACGGCACTGCTTGTAAACACACTTCTTGTAGTTGGTCTGACCTTAACTGCAGCAAGCTCTCACTTAGCTGGTCTTGCAGTTGCTCCAACTCCATACTGTGTGTGACGATTCTGTAATCTCACACTGCTTCTCAGTAGCACCGCTGATCCCACCGCTGCCACCAAATTTTGTTGCACACTTGGATTAAAATGAATTGAAACCAGTGTGGCTTTGTGAGTTCGCCTTTACTGCATCTTCAAATATATACATGGACATAGCACAACGTTACACACTTTTGCAGTCTCACACAACTCTTATAGGCACACTGCCTTATGGGTAGTCTTTAAACTCAAATCACTAATATTTCTTACAGTGTAACAATGAAATAAACATAAACAAAAGATAGTGTGATCCACCAGTCTATATCTGCTGTGATTACAGCCCGGTACAGGTATAAATCCACAAAAGTGCCACGAGGTTTCCGCACAAACTAATGAATTAGATCTAGCTGCTAATCGTTAGCATCACGGCTAATTCACATCGCTACCAATAACTTATACACTAATGGCACATAGTGGGGATTAACGGCCAACTTTCCCACATTCTCTGCAACCCCGTGGACTCATCTGTAGATACATTTTAAGTTATTTACCATCTTGTATCTGCTTACCTGCAAATATATACATGGACATAGCACAACTTTACACACCTTTGCAGTCGCACACAACTCTTATAGGCGCACTGCCTTATGGGTAGTGGCTGGGCTTATTTACTCCCGCTAGAGCTGCTCATTTTAGGGGATACTCCCTCTTGTGGTGTAACGGAGGAATAACTACGCTTCCTGCACTATGTCATTTTTGGAGACTGGGGCACACATTATTTTACCACAATCAAAGAAAATACAGATTTGAACAATCAGACCATTTAACTAACTATAATATTGTAACTAAAGATTATGGGGGGTGTCCTGTTTTGTCCACAATGTCTTTCTTGTCCTTACACAGCTCTTCCTGCATCTGGAGCCTGTGAAGGACTTTTTAGTCAGGCAGCACTCCTGTTCACTGCTAAACAGTTACAGCTTCACAGAAAGAAACATGAGAGCAAACTGCTGCTGAAGCTTAACCATCACTTCACTGAGTGGAGAAATGGCATATTTTTTCTAAATATGCAGAAAAAAAATGCACACCCATACAATTTATGGTAAAGTGAGCAACCTTGTATGTACATATGTTGAAGTTGCCTCGTTTAAATGTTTTCGCTGAGGCTGCTGTGCCATTTGGATCAAAAATGAATACAAAGTTTACAGCATATCTTGTCACTGGAAATGGTTTGCAATGTTCATATATTCCTATGATTTACTGTAGGTATTGGTTAAAAAAGCTTTATGTTGTGAAAAACTGAAATGTGGAAATTAGAATTGTTGTGCCTTATTTTGTTGATGTTTTTACATGTTTATCTATTTTTAAATGTTTGAGAGTATTAAAAACACAACGCTGCAGTTATTATTAGATTACTGAGATATTATTGGATGAACTGTGCTTGTCCTGCTTGTTAGTTTTATTGCAAACAGGCTAATAAACTCCCTGTAAATAATGTTTTTATTGTTGGCTGAGGAACAGTGAAGTCCTAATAAATGATGGCAGCTGATCCTATTTATGATTTTCTCCAGGAACTGGCAGAGTATGAGAACCTGGCAGAGCATGTGAAAGTGACCCAGAAAGGTAATGTATGTAGCGATGTCTCAAGTTTCTGTCTTGACTTTAAATATATTGTTTTATTTTTAAAAAAAAACATGAAATCCAAGGTGATATCTCAATAGAGGTTCAGAGCTGAGTTATTGTAGTTTTTTTCTGTTATTTATTTAATGTTATTTTGACTATTGTTTTTTATTCAGTTTAGTTTACAGAGTTGATTTTCTTATTTCACTTTAGTTTTTATTGTTTGAAAAGGTTTAGTTTTAGTTGATTATTTATTAGTTTCAGTCTTAGTTTTAGTCTTTTTCTAACTGTATTGAGGACATATGTCAGAGGCCAGATTTAGGAAAATTATTACAGGTATGACAATAAAAACACAAACACAATATCACATCATTATGAAAGCAGTTAGCTCACAGTCTCGTAGACACCCAAAGTCTCAAGAAACACATCCGTCAAAGCAGACAAGTTCTAATAACGTTTTGGGTTTGTTTTTTTACCACATTTTTACCAATCAAACTCAGAAGTCTAGTTTTTATTTTAGTGAACTTTTTTTTTCCACATCTCACGTTGTGTTTTATGTTTTTGTTAATTAACTATAAGAACATGGTTCAGAGTTTATTCTTGCCCTTCCAAAAATCTTTTGTAAAACACAGAAAGAAGATTTTTAATATCTTTATCTGCAGCTGTTAAATAAACTGTGAACCAAAAAAGATATTCAGCTGACATTTTGTTAAATGTGTATTTCAGCTGCTTCAGGAAAGGTAAGCTTTGCATGTCAATGGTCATTAAAAGAACAGTACTGAAAATCTTAATCCACCCCTCATTTCTTATTATTTTGCTGGGAAAATGGGAAATGGTTGCAGCAGTTTGTTGAATCATGCAAATACGTCATTTTTCATGTGCCTCAGTAAACAGTAGAAGGATCAACTGAAGAGCACAATTTCTGAAGGCAATGTCTTTCAGGTAATGCTGACTTTGTCACACTTCTCTTTTCTTCTGTTTTTTTTTTTTTTTTTTTTTTTTTGCCTGTCCCGTTTGGCTCTTTTGCGATCAGAATTGTTGTCTAAAGGTAAAGAAAGATGCCCAACGGATTTACTTTACCAAATTGACCATCCCAGCCTTGCCATAATGGTCCATTTGATTCACCTTTTATTGTTTATTTTATTTTCACTTACTGAATATGGGACAGACTTGACTGGGGGAAAGAAGGGGAGAAAGAAAGAGGGAAAGAGAAACAGCTGAGAAGAGGGACGGGGGAGAAGGGCAAAAACCAACAGAATGAGCAGAAAAAGAAAAAAAAGAAGAAAAAAAAAAGAAAAAAAATGCATAATGTATTTTCTTCTGTTTTTAAAGACACCTTGCACAAAATGCTGAGATATGCCAATGTTTGAGGTAATAGCTCTTTAGAAGTCACCTTGTAAAAAGGTGCAAATAGTGCAAAAAGTTCTATTTTCTGTGTGCCAAATTGTGTTACCATTGGTGGGAGCAGCACTTGATGATGATGATGATGATGATGACAATGATTACAACAGGCTCATAAACTGGCTAAAATTAGAATTTAAGATAGGTTTGTTGCTAAATTGTCATTCATTCTTAAGTTGCTGGTTCATCCTTTCAGTTACGGGTTTGATCCCTTAAGTTAGGCGCTGTCATGGTCTGGGTGAGCTGTCTGTGTTTTTCTACTACTTCCCTGTGTATTCACCTCTGGGCGGACCACTTGTCAGTCCACCTGCTCAGCTCACCTGATGGAGATTCAGGACAGTCAACAGTATAGTGCAGTATTTAAGAACAGCATCCACATCTCTTCTCTGCCAGTAGCAGGCAGCATTGCTTCATGCTCATTGTTTCTGTGTTGCATATACCTCAGTTTCCTTGTGCCTGTAGTCAACTCATGGGACTCTCACTCGAGTTACCTGCAGCTCCCATTTCCAGGACACTGGTCACCACCACACCAAGACTCTTTGTCACGGATTAACTCCTCACCACCTCCGTGTCCACCTACCTTTACCTCTTCTGGATATCTTGATTAACAAGGTCGGACCCATGCAAACTGGTCACTCTCAGCTCTCTCTGGAGGAGCGGGAACGACATTTTCGCACCCGCGAGTGTTTTTATGTGGTTCTCTCAATCACTACCTCGCGGTCTGCCCAATTGGGCCAAAAGGCTCCACTCACCAGTAATTCTGGGTGTTGTGGCGAATCCACTTAGCCAAAAAAATGGATCGGACATCAATTGGAGAAACGATAGTCTTTATATAAGGCTTCAAAAGGGGGAATGTACAACAAATAAACTGCTCGACATCAGAGCAACATATAATGGCTTCCCAAACTTTCTTTGCTAGCTAAAAAAACCCCAGAGTAACTTTCGTCTACCACAAAGGATTCTGGGAAACGCAGTTTCTAATGAAAATAACTGTTAAATGCTCCCTTTTAGCAGAAAATTAAATCTATAATTAACAGCCCTCACTAAACATGTGACTAACACTTAAATCACTTACAAAATAATCAGAATGCTGTTATCAAACAAAACTGCAATAAAGTTACAACATCGGGGATATGGGCGGGTGGATCTCTAACTCATTTCAAACACCATTTTCTAAAACCTGTGTCTCTCAGTGTGAACCAGACCACTAATTCCCTTCATGCCCTCATCAATTCTGGGGCCAAGCCAAATCTAACAGACACTACGCTGGCCAAGCAGTTGCATTTGCCCCTAATTCTGCTTAATCCCCCCCATACGTACCACGGCGCCGAAGAATCAAGTTTTTGCCCTTATCACCCTCCAAACCAAGCCTGTCTCCCTAGTCACGTCTGGCAACCACCGGGAGATGCTCGCATTCTTCACATTCATGTCCTCTGACAACCCACTAATTCTATTAATCCACATATTGACTGGTCTGGGCAAAACATCACTAGCTGGAATGTCTTCTGTCTTGCTAATTGTTTAGTTGCTAACTGTTTCACCTCAGCATTTCATATTTCAATGTCTTCTGGAAAACCGGTTGTACATTAAAGCAGATAAATGCTTTACGGCATCCTGGTTGAGATTTTTTTTCTCACACAGTACCCCAATTCACCTCACAAATCAAAAACGCTTTCTGCTTAGCTCTCTGGCCCATCCAATCTCAGCTCAGGCTACCACAGCCAGACCGAGAGACTCAACCTGGAGCTAGAGTCCACTCTCTGCTGCATCACAACACATAATCTGCCAAAATGGTCATCACACCTTCCATGGGTTGAGTATGTGCATGATTCCCTCATTTTATCTACAACTGGTTTCCCCTTTTGAAGCTTCTCTAGGCTGCCAGCCGAGGTGGAGCTTGCCATTCCTTCGGTCCAGCATCATATGCAATACTGTCACGTCTGAACACGAACGCAGGGGGCATTGCCCACCTGGAACCATCAGTCAAGTTACATTCAGAGCGTATTTCCAGGATGCTGGTTGCCACAACAAGACTCTTTGTTCTGCTTCTCTGTCACTGATAAACTTCTCGCAACCTGCCTGCCCACCTGCCTTTGTTTCTTCTGGATCTCTGTATTAACAAGGTCAACTCTCTCCACTCATTCACCTTCCAGGATGCTCACCCAGCCATTTCCCCTCCTACCAGAGCCATACTCACTCCACCTGCCAAGTAAGACACAAATCCAATCATTCCCACGATTATCAGTCTTTGCCTCCCTCACTCCCTTCCTAACCACACTTTCCATCTGTCCACACTTCCGCTACTTCAGATCCTCCCATTCCTTCCTTGTAACAATTTTTCACATTTACTGTATGTTCAGCAACAAAGCTAGGGAGAGAACCATTTTGCTGTTTCATGTGTTTGAATCTACACTTGGATCCACATCCACATACTGGCCTCTGAGCCCCCATGACAAGTGCCTTTTTTGTTTTTGCTTGAACGATTCAGTGTTGAAATAAAATCTAAAATTCCTCTGAAAATGCCCAGATATAACTCGACTGAAAATTTATGAAAAAACAGCGAATGTAAAAGATAAATTTTGACTGACCTTCAGAAAGCTTGGAGAACTATTGCTCAAGACCATTTAGAAAAGAAAAATTAAAGAAAATCTTGCTCCTTGGAAGTAAAATACTAAGGAACGAAGGGTGGCTCAACACTTTGGCACAGTACCATAAATAACACCCTTTGCCAAATGAAGTTCAATGACATCACATACCCAGAATTGCATATTAATTTTGTAGTAATGTGAACTTTGTAATATCTGGTTTGTAAGTCTGGTTTAAGCACGGCAGCACGGTGGTTAGCACTGTTGCTGCACAGCAAGAAGGTCCCGAGTTCAGTTCCACCATCAGGCCGGGGTCTTTCTGTGTGGAGTTTGCATGTTCTCCCTGTGTTTGTGTGGGTTCTCCCCGGGTACGCCGGCTTCCTCCCACAGTCAAAAAATATGCAGTTAGTGGGGATAGGTTAATTGGTCAATCTAAATTGTGAATCTGTGAGTGAATGTGAGTGTGAATGGTTGTCTGTGTCTCTATTTGTTAGCCCTGCGACAGACTGGCGACCTGTCCAGGGTGTCCTGTACCTCTCGCCCTATGACAGCTGGGATAGGGTCCAGCGCCCCCCGTGACCCTGGAACGGATAAGCGGAAGACTCCGAAGTCTGGTTAAAAACTCCACTGCTGTCTCCTATATCTCAACAGGTGCACTGTTGATAGGTTTGTAGCTTGAACCTATTCGCTAGAACGTTGAAGGCAATATAATTACACAGCAAAGCAAGACACGAGTAGGCAAAGTTCTTCATGTTTCTCGTGCACGGGAGAGAACCGGACAAACGCCATTCCTTCGCTTGACCCCAGTTGCTCTCGTTCGTTCTCCCGTAACACTGTTCTTTTATTGAGGTTACATGAATATGCATAGGTTCATTAACATATGACATCTACATACAAACAAAGAGTATCGTGTGTGTGTGTGTGTGTGTGTGTGTGTGTATGTGGTGTGATTTGTGTGAGGTCAAGATGTGACCCTGTGAAGACTCCCCAAAGCTGGTGCCAGGCGTCTAGCAGATCTATCTAAACAAAAGGCTCTTATACTTAAAGAGATATACGTGTGTTTGCTATACCATATATCAACAAAGAGAAGATAGGACCTCTCTGATGTTCCTAGACTGTGGGTGTGCATTCTAGTGTGGAATACACACCAAGCCTTTACAGCCTGCTAAAGATCACAGTCCTATCACTACACAATTGATTATACACCTCTAAGCATATATGGTTAAATATTTCTAAGCATAAATGACAATCAACAATACAAAACCTAACAACTGTATTGCCAAAGAATATTAGTTCACTCATCCAAATCATTCAGTTCAGGTGATCAAATCACTTCCATGGTCATGGGTGTATAAAATCAAGCACCTAGACTTCCAGACTGCTTCTACAAACATTTGTGAAAGAACGGGTCATTCTTAGGAGCTCAGTGCAGTATAGTTCCGTGATGGAATGCCACCTGTGCAACAAGTCCAGTCATGACATTTCAACATATTCCCATATTCCACTGTCAGCTGTTTTTGGTATTACAACAAAGTGACTGACTGGGCACCAGCATAAGAACTTGACTGACCTGCAAAGTCCTGAAGTCCTGACCTTAAACCAACAGAACAGCTTTGGGATGAATTAGAGCAGAAATTCTTTTCATACTTTCTCACACTTCCTCATTCCACCACTAAGTGTCTTTGCCCTCTTTATTCTGTCCAAAACACCAGTTTTGGTAGTACCCGTCAGAGCTACAACTGTAAAAGGTTCTCAATGTTAAATATAAATTAAATGTCCCCGTTTTGAAAATATTCTGTAATGTGTAACTTTAATGTCAGTAAAAAAAATTAGATCTATTATGTTTAGTTGTCTGTAATTTCTTTTCAGACTTGGAGCAAGATGGCTTTACCAAGAACCCGTTCTTTCATGGCATCATCGCTGAGGTGCCAGAGCAGCACAGAACAAAAGAAGGTGAGGAAGATCATCTTACACAGTTTTCACACACACTGTTTCAAGCTACTATCGAACAACTCTAACCCAGTTACTTACTGTTAAGTCAAATTGTTGAATGTGTCATTGTGTTTCTTAAATTTGTGAAGTCTTAGTTCAAGCAGTAGGATCAAAGCCATTCCTTTGATCCTGACCACCTCTCCAGCCACTCTGTGCTGGGGGAGGTTTTATTGCAGATACATCCTATCTGAAAGATCTGTTTCTTGTGTTGTACGCTTCCTGCTTTTATGGTCCTTTTGGTGAGCAGGAGGTCACACAAACGCAGGACAGCTGCTCTTTGAAGGATTTAGGATAGAGACAGGTGATGAGCATTATGCTCCACTGCCTGGTTCTGACCAAACCTTTCCCTTGTTAGCGAGATAAAGACCGGTTGAAGATGATCTGTTATGTCGTGTGTTCTTCATGAGGAATAAGTCTCTAAACTAGCGGGGCATGTGGAAACACAGACCCAACACTTACACAAACTCGAAACTGATGGGTAATTGTTAAATAGAAGAAACTTTAAAATGAACCTATGCTGTCTAAAATCTTAACAAACTCCTAAAACTACCTAGCCAGCACTGATCTAAAACGCTGCGGAGCAAGTATGTTTAGGATAAAACATCAGCATGTAAAAAATCTTGTCCCACTGAGAAATTCAGTTCTCTGTAAAATACAATTTGTGGTTTTCAGTGCACTGACACTAAGTGTGCCTCTAAGTTTTAGAGGGAACATGAAGTCTTTGTCGCTCATCAGGGAAAGACAATACGAGAGATAGTAAACAGTCACCTTCTTGTGAGGTTACATTTATAAAGGCTGTTGCACATTAAGTTTGAGCAACACGACAAATCCGATCATTTTTTTCACTGATATAAAGGAAATGTTACATAGTTATGTGTTTACAATAAAACATTATGTTATTAATAATCAGTGTTCTGAATATTCACCGACATTAACTCAATCGGAAGGAACAACAAAACAAATATAAAGATTTAAGAATACTGAAGCTGTTAACCGTAAACTGTAAGCTAGCTTACTGATATTTTTCTTCTTTCAGGACACAGGAAGGTCGGCTATACACTTTACTTCTATTCCTACAGCTCGTTTGTAGGCAGAGCCATTTATATGGAGGACTTGTACGTGATGCCTGAGTTCAGAGGTACAGTACAGCCTCTGAGAAGATGTCACATCATCGCTGTGCATCTGTATTTGCACGAAATCTCAAGTAATGCACATGATCTGTCTTTCAGGGAAGGGTGTTGGTAAAGCACTAATGAGCAAGGTGGCACAGGTGAGTAAAACGTGTGAACACTGTAGAAGATAAACCTTGAGGATTTTCCTATTTTCAATATTTGCACAAAAAAATGATGAACAGTGTCTCAGAGGTAGCATACAGATCTCAGCTCAGCAGTCATTCCTGTCTTCCTTCTTGGTTTTGCCCTCCTGTAGCTGGCTCTGGCTGCTGGTTGCCACCAGCTCAACTTCACCATCCTGGACTGGAACAAACCATCGATGGACTTTTACCTCGGCCAGGGCTGCTTCGATGCCACTGCTACCATAGGCTACCACTGCATGCGCTGCGAGGGGGAGGCGCTGAAGCAGCTGGCTCAGCTTTAAAACAACCCTCATGACTTTGTGACCTTTGCAGCCATGAAGTCAGCCCACGCATTGCAGGGATGGAGCACCACTCAGTGGCCTCTTTCCAAAACTTGACAACTTAAGCTGCTACCACTACATAGGTTGTCTAAAGGTCTGTGCTCATAGGCTGACAGTGCAGCACACCTTTTAAAATGAATATAGTTGAAATATGTTTATATCCACATAAATGGCATAAAATTGGTTTTCTAACTTAGTTGCACTTTTACTCTCAGGTAGTTGATGTTCCAGTCATGAGAAAATGATTTTTATAATAATGTGTATAACATCATAGAATAAAGCTGATTTTACACATTTCTCCTGAGTATGTTTTTGCAAATACTTTTTGACATCTAAAATTATTGATTGATTGAAAATGAAGATAACACTGTTTATATTGTTTTTTACCTTTATGCTTTGTGTGAACAACTAAGGTGTGTTGCTTATGAAGTGCCACAGAGAAAATTACATTTTATTTATGTAATTAACACATTTTGAACTCTTAAAGAAATATAACAAAAGGAAAGACACCCAGCTGAACTAAAATGATCCATGTAGCAAACAAAAACTGTTGGGAGCCGCCACCCTTATATCGCCTTTGGGCTTTTGGAGCCTTGACCTGACTTTTAAAAAATAATTGGGAAAAAAAGCACTATGCTGCTAAAAAATTAAAAATAGATATTTGCAAAATTCTGCCTAAATGTGTATTTTACCTGGTTAATGTGCGTGGCGGGCGTGGTCTGCAGCGCCGCTCCAGGGGAAAAGGACGCACCTGAGCGGCACTCGCAATCACGCCTCGCCGCCTTAACGTCTGTGCTCTCTATGCTGTTGTTGGTATGTGTCGGGCTGTGAGCTGAAAAGCTACAGCCGGTGTTCCAGATCTACTGGCGTTTAGATCAACTGGCGTTGGTCGAACAGATGTGTGGCAGTCTTGCGTTTCAGGAGCTGCTACCGACAAACCAGCAAAAAAAAAACGCCAAATGTGTCATCTGTGACACTTGTGAGGTTAACACACTCCGTCAGTCTTGATGCTGTTGAACAATAATGTTTAAAAACGTCGCGAGTTTACCTGGTGATATCCTCATGCGCGACGCGATCGCGAAAACAGCAAACAATTAACACCACGCCGATGTTGTTCACGGGACAGCAAGAGTAAACGATCGGGAGACTCGTCGTTATCGTCCCCCTCGCACGTTTTTATTTCTCTGGTTTCAGCGTTTTTGCTGCACAACTAAAGCGTGCAGTTTACTTTGTGCACTAACATGTACTTGAATCAACCAGCGCCACCTCTGGCCAAGTGCCACAACCTACAGCCAGATCAACTTGTGACACAAATCTGCACCACGTTTGAATTCGTTTCATGCACAACACATTTGTACCTTTCAATTTTGTCTGTTTGTGCGTCATGCAAATAAACCTTTAAAATGAATGAAATGATATCATGTATCTATTTTGGACCACATTTGTAAAAAATTCCAAATTACATACACAAAGTCATAGGAATCACCACCCCTGTTCATCATGATCTTAATATTTTGGCCCATAAGAAAAACGTCTTGAACAAAAATGACACATCAATATTTCATTAGTGTTGTCACATCCTGTAAGCATCGTCTGTCTGTGTCTTTTCTCTGCAAACAAACATTTTAGAGGTGGTAGTTATATACAGTCTGTATAAGTGTGGTTAATCCAATAAACATTTGTAAGGAGATGGCAGTTACTGTGAATTTACAGGAGTTACACAGTGATTAGTAATAAACAGTCTCCAAAACTTTCATATGATCTTCAATTTGGAATCCATCTACTGACTATCACATAGCAGCTGGAGCAGTCTCCAATGGAGGTGAGTCCACTGCTGCCACCTGTGGCCAAGAACCATAGCCTACTACTAGATTAACTTGTGACACACATCTGCACCTGCTGCTATGATCACATTGAGTAGAGGCTGAGTGGCTGCACTTACCCCTGGTGCATCCAAATCTACCCACAAACCTGTTGAAAGACGCAATGCCAGCAATGTGCAGCCTGACTCATCCTGATTCTAGATGTTCAGCACACACACAGACACAGAGGTACTGTTTAAGGTTTAGTTTTAACCCGAGTCACTGATCATTTACAGTGTTACAGAGTCTGGCAGTCTTTGCAAGATGTACACATTACTGTAAGTTTGTAGCTGACTCTCAGGTGTGACAGGTGTGCCAGCAGGAAAGAGGCTCAATAAACCTGCATCCTGCGGTTTGTCATGCAGGATTAAAAGAGCCAGGCTTTGTTCACACAGCTAGGATTGTATTTTACACTGACCCTGGGTCAGTATAAGTGTCATACAGTTTAAATGAAGCACTGAAACTGATGCATTGATGCAATGAAGCTAATTAGGATATTTACTGTCAATCTGTGGCAGCGATAAATCACTTTACTGGAAACTTTATTAACTAGTAACTTCATTAGTCCATAACAGAAGCTAATATTTCTGTCCTAACGTGGTTTAAAAAGTAACAGCTTTACTACAATATAATCTAATGCTCACACCATAAACGTTACCACATTAACATTTTTGACACTCACTGACTTTTAATAGTCATTCTATAAATGCTGTCCATTTAAATGGTCTTACCTGTAAACACTGCTGTATTCACCGGATTCCAGCCAGAGTGGATTCTGGAGTCTTTCCACGCTCCTTTTAGTGATCCTCCATCTGGATGGATGATAACAACCTTCTGAACAAATTAGCAGGTGGAGATGGCCCATATCTATGGGACAGATTTGTGCTAATAACGCACATTGTATGGACTGATAACATCCAAAGCGGGTATGAATAAAGTGAATAAAGTCACCCAATCACTAACTGTGCCATTACCAAGCATACATCACTCTCTCCATCAATGCAATAATCGATACAAAAGTAAATGCCTGTAATTAATTTATCTGCTTTTTCTCAGGTAGTTGTTTACATTATATCATTTATTGTGTTCAGTATACGTCACTACAATGTGTTTTCGGAAATATCTAAATATTTCAATTAAATTCAATTTTATTTAAATTTAAATTTAAAATTTAAATCCCAATGATCAGGCGACAGCTCAGTTCTTGTCCAAGCAGTTCATCTTTACCAACTAAAAGCTGTCAAACCTAAAATGAGGACGTGGGCTCAGCTTTCAGAAATTGTTCTGAAAGCGAATTTAAAACTGTGGCTTTAAAATGTTCATGAACTGTTACTCTGAGCTGTTGTTTGTATGTCCTTACCAAAATGGTTACTGCAAAGGACTGACCTGAAATCTGGGATATAATGCTTTTGGGGTTTTTCTTTTTAGGCTTTCATTAAGTCCTCTAGTCTATAGTTAATATGAATGACTACATGGAAGTTAATTTGAACACAGTTAAAGTTATTTAACTCTTGCAACCAAGCTGATTCTTTTCAACATCAACATATTAAAACTACAATAAAGCACCACCAGCAGTTTTATCAACTAAAGCTTATTTAATTACATTTAAAAGTCTTGATGGGTTTATCAGTGTCAGTTAGCATTCCACATATCACATTAGTACCTGAATCAGTCTTTTTTCTAATAAAAGGACCATTAATCACAGATACCGGATATACTGCAGTTCATATAGTTCACGGAGTACCTAAAAAGTACTTTTCCTACTGCCACAAGGTGGGGCTGTGCACCAAATGACATGTGAACTTCTTTTAAGAAAGACATGCACTAACCAGATATCATTCAGCTTTTGATGAAAGAACATATTGTACTTTTGTTCTTTAGAGGGAAAATACAGAGGTTGTTTTACAGCCAGGAAAGTTAAACAGTGAGAAACCAAATAATGACCTGAACCAGACATTAGGCTTCAATATAAACTACAAAAAAAAAGAACATCTTGATGCATGCTCAACCATCCAGGTAAGTAAATCTCCAAAAGTTGATTCTGCTGCACACATGAAATGTTTGTTTTCATGGCAAAACCACAAACACAGACAGTCATATCTCTGTGTTAAGTCTCCCTTCTTTTTCCTCTGATTGCTGCCAATCGGTTATCCTTTCACCTGTTTGAATGAACAGTAAACACTGAACCTGTCAGGGTCCTGGGATCCCTGAGCAGTTATGGACTAATATTATAATATATATTTTGTATTGCTGTCCCTCGTTATCCCTGCTTGTGTGTGTGTGTGTGTGTGTGTGTGTGTGTGTGTGTGTGTGTGTGTGTGTGTTTCTGCGGGCGCCTTCAGGCCTGGTGGGTATGGCCCTGCTGGCGGACTGGCCACACCCGAAGCCACACACCTGCTGCTGATCAGGCCTCGTCGGGGGAGCTACTTAAGAGAGTCTTGGAGCTCCCACTGGCGTGGGATCATTTTGTGAGACTTCCCGTCAGTTCTCCAGCTGGTCTGTTTGTGAGTGTGAGCTTACCAAGTGAACTGAGGGTACTAACTACTGCCTCTATTTTCCCAGGAAGGATTGCTGGATGAGAGGGCAGCAGACACAGAGTGCACTGGCACGAGGGAGCAGACACATGAGCACAAACACTGGGAGAAGACACGGAGTGGAAGTCGGGAGCACACGGGGATGTATTATTGTTGTGTATCAGTTCCATCACTGTAAATAAACGCACTGCTTGTACATAGAGCACCGCGCCTGGGTCCTCCTTCCCCACACCCCCCACGGTTTGCCATGCCCTCTGCACACACCAGGCAATGCTGCTAAAATTCTTTATTTATTTAATCTTTATTACTTTCGGTTTCTCTCCAGCAGTAATCGGAAGGCATGTGACTGCAGATTAACGATCATGATTATTTTATACATATTTTACTTAAGCCCTCATAGTGCTCCTGAGAGTCCAGGTTTATTTTATGATTTATGGGTTTTATTGCACTACTTTTGGAACATTGTACCATGTAGTCATCTTACTCTGAGAGTTTGTGGGCTTATTGTGTTGCTTTTGCCACTGTTGTGTTCTGAATTTACATGAAACTAGATGTTAAAAAGTTGTATTATTTATATGGTTATACAACACAGCTAATGCATTCTCTCATAGCCATCATTTGGCACAACAAGACGGATGTGAAGCAGACAAAAACCCAGAAAAATACCAAACATTGTTGTGGTTACATATGAGACTGATGAGGGTGTGTTAGGTAATTTCCAGTTCTCATCTGAATGACAACATTTAATTTAATAAGGAGATTTTTTTCTACAATGATTTTCCAGGCATTGTGATCAACATTACTGCCATGGGGCAACTTCAAGCTGGTGCTCTGCAAAACCAAGCTGCAGCATTATTTGGAGCGAGCCCCAGTACCATCTCCAAATTCAAGGCCAAGTATAACAGGGGAATGTCAGAGACAAACCCCAAAGTGAACAAGTTTGCTCTCAGTGTCAGCACTGAGGAGAACTGTAGGCTGTAGCTACAGATTTATGGTCATGGTTTGCAGGATGATCTGGCAGACGGCTTTCTACACAGTCAGTCACTGCCCTGCACTCGGACCTGTCTGTATTGTTATTCCCAAAATGATTCACTGGAACCAGAAGATGTGGTGGAACATTATATTCTGCAATGAGTCCAGATTCTGCCTATAGCAGCTGGATCGAAAGGTCAAAGTTTGGAGTTGTTTAGCATTGGCTCAGAAGATTTGATACTCACTCTGCTGCTCAACCCACAAATTTGTTTTCCTTTATTGCCAAGAAGCACAAAAAAGAAATAATTAACCAGACCCAAACACAAATTTCCTAAATTTTTTTGCTGCGTTTAGCCCGAATCACGCAGTACAAATGATAAACACAGAATAGAAATGGTCACCCCGAATTCCCTAAACCTTCGTGTTACTTGTATTTTTAATTTCAGGGATACTTTGTTTTGTAATTTGAAATTAAATTATGTAAATGAACTGCATGTTTTATTTATTAAATTTTGATTAAGCATTGATGCCAACTTAAAATGAAACTGACAAGATATTGAAACTGAAAAAAAATTATTGTAACTGAAATAAATGTACTGAAAAATCTTGTATTGAAACTGGAAAAAAAAAATAAATAATTGAAACTATAATTTATTTGTTTTGCTTACAATTCTCTTTGTTCAGTTTCAATCTGCTGGCTCTGTTTTGTCTTCTGGGGGCGCGCTTGATTCCAACCCACATGTATTTGCATACATTATAGAGGCCACTAATGCTGACCAAGCTGCCATCTTTCTCTCTTCACCTCTTTCATTAGCTGCTTCATTTTCAGGTGGGACCCTCTAAAACAGGTAAGTAATCATTTTTTGTCATCTTTCTTTGGTATTCCACTGGACTGGAGTTTAGTTTAGTTTTTTAGCTACATGCTTTTCCCCTCTCCAAAGCAGTTACTTGTTCTTTTCATTTAAGAATACAGCCCACATTATTATTGAATTTTTCCTGACTGCCTTCAGTTGTGAAGTCTTCCTGTTCTCCTCTGTGTGGCGTAGGCTCTAATTTTTGTTAGTAAAGTGTGAAATTTCCTGAGTTGTCTTTCTTTTCCTTTAGTGATTGGGCATGCTGAGCCTTGTTTACAAACTAGGGGAGGGTAGAAGTGTTTTCACTTCCTGCAGAGTCTGGCTAATTTGGTCCGGAGGGCATCAACAGTGAAATGGACCTGTCTTATCCTTTCACTTAGAAGTTATTTTGTGCTCTCCCTAGAATCAACTCAGCTCTGTGTCCCCTGACCATGAATCCAAGGCACAAACTCTTGGGAACGACTCTAGTTTGTCTGTATCTTAGGTTGATGCGGAGATTGTTCCTATAATCCGCTAGTTTCCTTGATTCCTTTTTATACTTCCACACCAATTGAAGGGTGTTCCTCCCAAAGTTTAGGGCAATATGTCTGTGAAGGTTCTCAGTCATTGTTTGCTAAGATACTGTTTTACAAAAAGTAAGAAAAAATAGTAAAACACTATTATTATTTATAAGACCCCAAATTATAGTTGCTTGCCTGAACTGTTAAACTGAATGTTTTCAGTGGTTGAATTTTGTGTTTGATTAATTTCTGGCTTTTCAGAGTAGTCCAATGTGCTGCATCATATTTTGGTATAAAACTATGAAGTGAGTGTAAGTTCCTCACTCCAGTTCAAAATGGTTGCACATCGAGGACATACTGAGAAGCAGAGACAGGTTTGCGTTTTCTTTTTTATGGCACATGGCATAATAAGCACTGTTTGTTAAGCACTGTTTAAACAACTGAAAATGTCTTTCTTATTACTCATGTCTTTTTCATTTACTAAGAAATTATTTGTATGGGAAACAACAGAAAAAATGCACAAAAATGCTTTCACTTTGAATTTTAAAGGTGTGTTGATAATACCCACAGTAGAGTCAGATGAATGATAATGATAATGTGTGCAATGTTAGTTCCCTTTGAAAATGAAACAACGAACAGGTAACACCCACCCGCGAGTCTATAAACACGCCGTCGACTCACATAACCTTCAGACGGAGAACCTGAAAGGATCTCAGCCTCACTTTCTAAACAAAGCAATGGCGCCACGCGATGTTATGAACCCCCACTACAGGTGGGGGTTGAAGAAAAATCCCCACCTGCTGAAAGGTAAGTAATATAAAAACTGAAATAAATGTGTAATTATTAGTAATTTAATGAGTCTATATTCAAATGTCTTAAAACATGTTTGTTTGCTATTTACAAAAAAATCTGTGAAATTTTGTGAAGCGAAAGCACGTTCACATATTTGGGGTTTTTTTTTTTCAGATAATATGAATAAAATTGCTGACCTGCTAACTGCTACGGTCACCTTTATTTTCTTTTTTTAAATTTTTAAAATATTCTCTGTTGTGGTTCACTCTAATGTATGGTATAATTATTTAAAACGTATTTGTAGCTATATTTAGTCTAAAAACTGCAAAGTAAAATTCTCTCTGTTCTGTGCTATGTGTGTTTAGAATACACTGAGAAATATGTAGGAAAGTCACTGCACCACCCCTCTGCATTGCTGTCCACTGCCGAGCCTGGCTCAGCTGAGCAGGTGGTGAGGAAGGTAAATAGAGGCTGAAGGAGTCCATCATTAATTTGAGCTTTCTTCACATTTTAAGACTCCTGTCACACCTATACTCAGCACTGATTTAATACTACATGGAAAAATGATAAGGTATTGCTGTGTAAATGTTTAGTTTACATTTTTATTTTAACTTCATATTTTATGGAACACGAACATGAATTGAGTTTCATCACTCCATTTCAAAACGGTTGCACAGAGAGGAGTCACTGAAAAGAGAAGACAGGTTTCTAAAATATTTGTTTTTTTTCTTTTTTCTCTTTCTTTTCCTTTTTCCTTTCTTTTTATGATATGTGGTATAATAAATGTGTTATAAATATGTACTGTTTAACAAAGATACTTACTGTCACCTCTCATAACCTTCAGACGGAGAACCTGGAAGGATCACAGCTTCGCCTCCTAACCCATGGAATGTGTGAAATCATCATTATCTTTCCTGATGGTCAGAGGCATTCGTTTTGGCTGCACAAGATAAAGCTTGAAGCAATGATTGTGGGCTGTTTTAAAGAGGAAGTGCTGAAAAAGCTCTTCCTCCTAGGTAGGTTACCCTAAAAACTGAAAACAAATACATTTTTAAAAAGTGTATTTATCACTGCTCAGTGATTCTCTATTCAAAAACGTTGTTTTGTATATTTTTTGTTTTTACTATAAAATCTATTGGGAAAAAAACGTATGAAGCGCAAACACCTTAACTTGCTACCAGTCACCTTTATTTTCAATCAAACTCTAATGCAAGGAAGATAATATAATTATTTATGACATATGTTTAGTTATGTTTAGTCTAAAGCTGCAAAGTAAAATCCTCTATTTCTGTGTTAAGTTTTTGTAGATTACACAACGGAAAATATCAAACTGCACTTTGATGGCAGGCCACTGGATGACGACTCTGCATCACTGGCCGATTGTGGAATCAAAGACGGCTCAGCTGTACAGATGACGAGGAAAGTTAAAGGAGGCTGAAGGAGTTGATAATAAATTAATCTGACTACATCAAAGTTACAGGATACATTGAACTATAAATACACATAAGTAACAAAACGCATGATTCTGATTGGTGTGACATCTATGGCTTTCATTCTTGTTTGTGCTTTCTTCACATTTTACGGCTCCTGTCATATCTATGCACAACACTAATTCAATATTACACGGAATAAATAATGATTAATTAGTGTGTACATTTTATTTTAAAATTTTATTTTTCATAGCAACAAGTTGATGGGGCTTTTTCCCTCACATTCAAAGGTGGGTCACCTGAGATGATTATGGATTATGGATTATCGCCTCTCACCGATTTCACACTGATCCACTGTCTAAAAACACAACCTTCAGATTTCTAATATTTTGGCTCACATTAATCACTTAAACAACAAGTAAGCAACTTTGGCTTTTTTAAAGTGTATGTGTGTGTGTAGCCTCAAATTATTAAAATTTTTGAAAGAAATTAAAATAAATATGATAGTACCTAGAATAACATCCACAAAGTAAATGCTGAAATAACAAATGCATTTTGAGGTTCCTGTTTTACACATTATAATTTTGATGTAAATAAATAAATAAAAAATATCACCAAATGTTAATGTTCTGATCACTGATGCCTGAATGTTCAGTAGTTTCCACTTTTTCTGTCGGTGAAAACGTTTGAAATCATGTTTAATAAATTCTTTCTAAACTAAGTTAAAAGGCACAGCGATAAGCATTGTTCACGTGTTTCAGCTTTATTTAAACTTTTTGATTCACAAATGATCCTGGATTATATCTTAAAATCTAATTGCTTATTTTCTGTTGCATGTTTTGTTCTATTAGCAACCAAACAATTAAGGAAATCTTCAGAATATGATAAATGACTCAAATGTAAATATGGAAGAAAGAAATAGAAATTTGACTTTCTCATGGATTGCATTGTTTAACTTTGATAAACCCGAAGACAGTCTGTCTCAGAGACAGTCATAGAGAAAATGAAATATAAAGGCTTCCATCATGTAACTTCAATTTTGGAAAACTTGTACTAGTTTAGCTGTTCCTGCAAATACTTCTAGTCAACACATTTTGACCACATTTTTTGATAAAGTATCATTAAGGATCACATTTTATATGATCATTTATATAGATAGGCTTTAAGTAATAATATGGCAGGAAGGTAGAAAAATCCATAGGTTTACATCAAATGAGGTGTTGCTGACTTGTTCAAGTCCAGGGATTAAATTTGGCAATAAATATTATGTTTTAGAGTTGCACATGCAAGTCTTTAACAGTCAAGAAAATATTAAAGGGGGCCACATTGGTTAGACGTGGATAAACTAAATAGTGGCATATACTGACCATGTAATGCTGCTCAGCTTTCACACAATATTATTTTACATTAACTTGTGTGGCTTATTCTAAATGTCTGACGGGAAATGTATAGAAAAAAACAACTTTAGGCACGAGACTCATGGCACTTAAAAAACATTTGTTATGTTTATTTGATGACCTTCATTCCTGACCTACAAAGCAACTGGAATTTCCCAAGTTTGTCAATGCATGATTCCAATAAAATCACGATGATATTTTTAAACAAACAGCATAACAACAACAATAATACCACTATAAGGCTGAGCCCTCACCCTTCAGAAGAAACTCCACCCATTTCCAGCTGAGAACCATGGCCTCACATTTGGAGGTGCTGATTCTCATCCCAGCTTCTTCACACTCAGCTTCATTACCTGAAAATAACTGAGCTATGAATAAACTTGTGTTGAAAATTGCTACCCCAAAGCATAAGCTTTTGAGACCTCACTGACCCTGAAGTGAAATGTGTGGAAAGATCTTAAAAATATTGCGACTTCTTTAAGTGGTCAAACTGTGTAATTGGTGCATGACTCACATCACAGTAAAGCCGTTCATTACCTGCACAAACATTGAAAAAAAAAAAATGTGACTTTGGAAGATCTTGCCTTGCAAGCAACAACATACTAAGCTGTAGAGATCAAACTTTTATTGCTTTCATAGTGAAACCACATCATCTTTAGACAAATTTAAAAAGTTCAGTTTTCCCAGAATTAGCCGCACTCTGTTTATTTAGATCCCACCTTTTATCCTTCTCAGGTTTGAGCAGTAAAGACAGACACTGACTTCTTAACACACCAGGGAATTGTTTTGTTTCATTTGTTTTTTGTCACTTTCACTTTCTCTCCAGCAGTTACAAGAAGTCATCTGACTGCAGATCAGCACTTATATGGTTTTACGTGATATAATAAAAGCGTTAGTGCTGCTGAGAGTCCAGGTTTATTTATTTATTTGATTATGTTTTATCACTTTATCTTTCATAGGCTTGCACCATACTGTCAAAGTTAATCTGACAAGTGGCGCTGTGTTTTTAGCATTATGACCTGGATTTATTATTTTATTTCTAGAGTTTGGGGGATTATTTTGCTTTTGTGGCACTGAAATGTTCTGAATATGGATCAAACTGGATTTTAAAATTATTCAATATTGTGGCGAGCTCAGACAAGGAGGAGACGGAGGTATCGTTTGGTCTTGCTTCACACTCCTCTCTTGCGAACCGGGCAGTACACCCAAACCTTGTCGCCAGGCATGAAAACCCCCCCTCGGCACTTGGTGTCGTAGGCTCTTTTCTGTCATACTCCGGCGCTGGCCTGGGCCTGGCGGGTGTAGTCATGAACCACCTGAAGCCGCTCCCTCAGCCTCCTGTAATAGTCCATCTCTGGCCCACCATCAATCTCCGGCTCGGGGGGAGACCCGAACACCAGATCCACAGGCGTCCGGAGCTCCCGTCCAAACATCAGAGCCACAGGTGTGCACTGGCTGGACTCCTGCACCGCAGTCCGATACGACCAAAGGACCAGGGGCAGATGTCGGTCCCAATCCCGCTGGTGGCGGCTGGTGAGAATGGCGAGCTGGGTGGCCAGCATGCGGTTGAAGCGCTCAACCAAGCCATCGCTTTGTGGGTGGAGAGGTGTGGTTCTCGTCTTCTCCACCCCCAGTCGCCGGCAGATCTCCCCGAAGACCTTCGATTCGAAGTTACGCCCCTGGTCACTGTGGAGCTCAGCCGGGACCCCAAAACGGGTGAACATCTCCCCCACCAGCTTCTCGGCCGTCGTCGTTGCGCTCTGGTCCGGCACCGCGTAGGCCTCTGGCCACTTCGTGAAATAGTCCATAGCCACCAACACATACCGGTTCCCTGACTCTGTGATGGGGAAAGGCCCTAGGATGTCCACTCCCACTCTTTCCATTGGGGCCCCCACCAGGTATTGCTGAAGGGGGGCAGTGGAGCGTTGAGTTGGGCCCTTCTGTGCCGTGCAGGTGTCACAGCAGTGCACATGAAGTTCCACATCCCGTCGACAGCCAGGCCAGTAGAACCGTCCCCTGAGGCGGTGGAGAGTTTTGGCGTTCCCATAGTGTCCTGCCCCCACCGAGCCGTGGACCAGCTCAACCACCAACAGCTGCAGGAGATCTCTGCCCTGACCGGGGGCCCGCCATCTCCGGTACAGGAGGCCGTCGTGGGTCTCCAGATTGTTGTGCTGGGAGTAGTAGGCCTTCACCTCGGGCTCCTGTCCCGACACCCCCGTCCAGGCGGGGCATTGCGCCGCCTCCCACAGGCCCCCACCTGAACCAACGTCGCGTCGGCCTCCTGCTCCCGCTTCAGCTGCTGCGTTGTCAATGGGAGCCACCCCCCTCCGCCGGCTGTGGCCTGAGCAGTAACCATCCCCAGCACCTCCTGGGCCCGCTCCTCCTGTCGCAGGCAGTAGCGGCACTCGACGGCTACGCAGGGCCGTCTGGAGAGGGCATCAGCGTTGCCATGCTGTCGACCTGCCCGATGCTGGATCTCGAAGTCATAGCCCTGAAGGACCTCCAGCCAGCGGGCCACCTGCCCTTCTGGGTGTTTGAAGTTCAGGAGCCAAGTCAGAGATGCATGGTCAGTGCGCAGGAGGAACCAGCAGCCGTGCAGATATGGCTGGAAGTGCCGCACCGCTAGCACTACGGCCAGCAGCTCCCGCCGGGTCACGCAGTAGTTCCTCTCGGCTCGCCCCAAGGCACGACTGAAGTACGCCACCACCCGTTCTCCAGCCTCGTCCTGCTGGGAAAGGACCGCCCCGACCCCTACATTGCTAGCATCAGTGTCCACAATGAAAGGTTGCCGGGCGTCGGGGTAGGCCAGGACTGGGGCTCTGGTGAGGGCCTCCTTCAGCTGTGCAAAAGCCGCAGCACAGGCATCCCCCCAGCCAAACAGCTGTCCCTTGTCAGTCAGGCGGTGGAGGGGGCTAGCCATTGTCGCGAACCCTTTGATGAACCGACGGTAGTAGGAGCCTAGGCCCAGGAAGCTCCGCAGTTCTTGGACGTTCGAGGGAGTCGGCCAGTCCCGGACCGCAGCCACTTTTGCGGGGTCAGTGGCGACACCTCGAGCGCTGATCACATGGCCCAAGAATGTGGTCTCTCTCGCCAACAGCCGGCATTTCGCGGGGTTGAGCCGCAGCCCAGCTCGTCGGATGGCACTCAAGACCTCGCTCAGGTGAGACAGTGCACTGTCGAAGTCGCCACCGTGCACCAACAGGTCATCCAGGTACACAACGCAGCGGCTACGAGGGATATCCACGAGCACCCTCTCCATCAGCCTCTCAAACGTCGCTGGCGCATTGCAGAGCCCAAATGGCATGACCCTGAACTGCCACAGCCCCTGTCCAATGGTGAATGCAGTCTTAGGCCTTGCGTCGGGGGCTAGCTCCACCTGCGAGTAACCGCTGCGTAGGTCGAGGGAGCTGAACCAACTGGAGCCGGTAACGTAATCTAGGGCCTCGTCGATCTGCGGCAGCGGGTACGAGTCCTTCTTGGTGACTGCATTGAGACGGCGAAAGTCCACGCAGAACCTTGGGCTGCCATCCTTCTTCCCCACCAGAACCACGGGTGCCGCCCATGGGCTATTGGATGGCTCGATCACCCCAGCCGCAGCCATCTCACGGATCTTCTCTTCCGCTACCTGCCGTTTCAAGAGGGGCAGCCGGTGTGGGCGCAGACGGATGGGCTGAGCAGAGCCAGTGTCGATGGTGTGCTGGACCAGACTCGTCTGCCTACAGCCTTTGTCACTGGCGGCAAAGATGTCCACATTCTCGTCCAGGAGGCACCTCAACCGCTGGCGCTGGTCGACGTTGAGGCCTACGCTGCTGCGCTGCCAAAGGTCATCAACAGCCTCGATGGTCTCGGTCGAAGGAGGTTTGTCAGGCTGAGAGGCTGAGGCTGAGGCGAGTGGAGATGACCCAGAGCCACCGGCATCCGAAATCTGCTGAGCGGCAGCTGCCCGACGCCTGTCTTGTCTGGTCCCCGCTCCCTGCTTTTGTCCGCGCTGGAGAGCAAAAGTCTCTGCGCCAAGAGTGATAGCCAGCTTCGCGGTGTCGACGCAGGCCCCCCAGCAGCTCAGCAGATCCAGGCCAATGATGCACTGGTCTTGAATGTCGACGAGCCAGAAGTCGTGCACCAGCTCTAGATCCTTCACTCGGATCCGCAACGGTTTCTTCCCCCGCATAACAGTTTTCTCCCCCGTCACTGTCATCAGCTGGGTGTCTGTGGGCAACCAACCCTTCACCAGTGGCCCGGATGTTCCAGGGAGCACGCCAGGTCGTATCAGGGAAATGGTAGACCCTGTGTCCACCAGAGCTTGGCATGGCTGGTCCTCAACACAGCAGCTCAGGTAGAGTCCCTTGAGGTGCCCAACTCGGCCCACCACTGTGCATCGTCCTTGGAGGGGGGCAGGAAGCTGGAGCGGTGGTCCCCTCGCTACACCGCTCCCTCCTCGTTTCCCTGAGGCTGCGTAGTTCTGGTCTTCGGGGCTGGTGCTGGGCAGTCACGCGCTACGTGGCCAGGCTCATCGCACCGGTAGCAGCGGTTGGTCGACGAGGACGCCTCCGGGGCACCGAGGGTTGCAGCTGGGACATCTCGGCGACCTCCCCCTCCCCGTCGCAGTCTGCGGCTTTGATTTGGGGGTAGTTTGGGGGGGGCACCTGCTGGTTAGGTCGCGAGGTGAGCACCGGCTCGGCCCTTTCAGCCTCAAGGAGCGCCTCACGGAGGGTCTGAGGCATGGCCAGGCGGACGTGTTGGCGTAGTCGCTCTGGGAAAAGTCCTTGCAGAAAAGCATGCAGGCTAAGCTCCTCACGGGCTGCTGCTGGAAACTCCGGGTAGCCACGACGAGCATACAGCAACACGTCTGCTGCAAAGGTGCCCAGGCTCTCCCCCGGTCGACGTCTCCGGTTGGTTAGCTGCTCTCTGCTCTGATCAGTGGAGTGCCGCTGCCCGAATCGCCTCCTGGGTGCCGCAGTGAGGGCCTGGAGCTCACGCTGCTCTGCCGGGGCTAGGTCAAGGAGTATCTGCAGTGCATCTCCCTCTAATGCTAGCGCTAGGTGTGTAGCAGTCTCCTCTTCGCTCCAGCCACTATGTCTGGCGGCCAGCCGCACTTGTGAGAGGTAGGGCTCTAGCGGGGTTAGCCCATTGTATTTCGGTACCTTAACTGGCGTGGTAGGCATAACTGCTCGCAGCTGGGGGCTCGGCGTGTGGGTCGACAGAGATAGCCCATGAAGCGTTGCCCTAGCATCTGTCGCGGCGGGCTGCCGCCGCGGTGCGCTCGCGCCATCGGGACCCGTCGGGGGACTTACATGGCCGCTCACATCCTCTCTCTTCAATCGCCAGTTTCCCAAGCGGGGAATGTTCTCCTCGACAGCTTGCTCCAGCCTCTGAATGTCTCTCTCCATTATGGCGAGGGTGAGCTATCCCACTTCTGACACCAATGTGGCGAGCTCAGACAAGGAGGAGACGGAGGTCTTGGTCTTGGTCTTGCTTCCCGTGAGCTAGCCAGGGAGAACAGCCGTTTATTAACATTTGCAGAAGAACACTGCCGCTAGCTAACTGCTCAGCGCGGCAACAACAACAACACACAGGGCGCCCTCTGACACCGGAAGGACACACCGTCGTAGCGAGAGGGCGTCACCCGTCACCATGGCAACATACACAAAACATAACTGTACAAACAGAACCCCGAACAGCTCCGACCCGCTACAATATGAATGTTTGTAAAACAGGACTGGTGAATCCACTCATAGCCATCGTTTGGCACGAAAACACTAAGAAATATGGAGGAAAGTCACTGGACCACGACTCTGCACCACTGTCCACTGCTGAGCCTGGCTCAGCTGAGCAGATGGTGAGGAAGGTAAATAGAGGCTGAAGGAGTCCATTACTAATTTGAGCTTTCTTCACATTTTAAGGCTCCTGTCACACCTATACTCAGCGCTGATTTAATACTACATGGAAACAAAGATACTAACTGTCACCTCTCATAACCTTCAGGTGCTCCTAACCAAGGCAATGTGTGAAATCTTCGTTATCTTGGCTAATGGTCAAAGGTGTCAGATGCTCCTAAGCGCCATGCAGCTGCAAGTAATGATTGTGAGCATTTTCAAAGAGGAAGTGCTGAAAATGCTCATCAAGAAAGGTAAGTAATGTAAAACAGAAAATAAATACTGGTACATTAAAATTATAGTTATCAGCACTTAAAAACTCTATATTCAAATTTCTTAATAATTTCTTAATCTCTTCATATATTATATTATATTATATTATATTATATTATATTATATTATATTATATTTACTAATAAAACGGCTCAACTGCTAACTGCTAAGGATCACCTTTATTTACAATCAAACTCTAATGCAGGGAACGTAATATAATTATTTATGACACATTTGTAGCTATATTTAGTTTAAAGGCTGCAAAGTAAAATCCTCCCTGTCCGGTGTTATGTGTGTTTAGGATACAATAAGGATAATATCAAGCTGCTGTTTGATGGCAAGCCACTGGATGATGACTCTGCACCAGTAAAAAAATACGGGATCAAAGCCGGCTCAACTGTACAGATGGTGAGGAAGGTTAACAGAGGGAGAAGGAGTCCATCATTAATTCATCTGACTACATCAAATTCATGAATCATAAATACACGTAAAGAAAAAGATGCACGATTCTGATTGAAGTGTAGCATCTTTTGCTTTTGCTCCCCTTTGCACTTTTGTCACATTTTACGGCTCCTGTCATACTTATGCTAATTCTGTATTAAACTGAATAGATAATGATTCATTGAAGTGAACATTTTTATCTGACATCTTTATTTTAATATATTTTTTTAAAAACATGAACTAAGTCTGAAGTTCCTCACTACAGTTCAAAATAGCTGGACGTCGAGGGCTCACTGAAAAGCGGTGACATGTCTCTAAAATATTTGCGTTTTCTTTTGTCTCCATGATATGTGGTATAAAAAATGTTAAGCGCTGTTTAGCAAAGGTACTAACTGTTACCTCTCATTACCTTCAGACAGACAACCTGGAAAGATCACAAGTTCCCCCCCTAAACAAGGAAAATTGTAAACTCGGCATTATCTTGCCTGATGGTCGGAGGGTGTCGATGATGCTGTGCCCCGGACAGCTGCAGAGTATGACTGTAAGCCACTTCAAAGAGGACATACTGAGAGTGTGGGCCATCCATGGTAAATAACCTAAGAACTGAAAACTGGTACATTAAATAAATAATGATCTAACCTACAGTCTTTAATGAGGATATAATCAACTGTCCCTAAAACCTGTTTTCTTTTTGTTTTTTGTTGTTGTTTATTTTACCAAAAAAACTATCAAATGTTGTGAATAGGAGTGCAAACACCTTCAAAGATTTGTTTTAATTTTGTTGCACATACAGTTACTCACACCTGTTTAATACTGTGTGTGTAGGATACACTGAGAAACATGTCACTCTGCAAGTTGAAGGCAAGACACTGGACAACCCCTCTGCATTGCTGGCTGATTGTGAAATCAAAGCCGGCTCAACTGTGCAGGTGATTAAGGTTCAGGGACGTGGAAGGGGTCCATCATTAATTTGAGCTTTCTTCTCATTTTAAGGCTCCTGTCACACCTATGCCCAGTACAAATTTAATATCACAGGGAATAAATTATAATTCATTTCTGTGTAAATGTTTAGTTTACATTTTTATTTTAACTTAATATTTTGGTATAAAAACATGAACCGAGTTTCATCACTTCATTGCAAAATGGTTGCACTTAGAGGACTCACTGAAAAGAGAAGACAGGTTTCTAAAATATTTGCGTTTTCCTTTTTTTATGATATGTGATCTAATAAATGTGTTAAGCGCTGTTAAACAAAGGTAGTAACCGTCTCCTCTCATAACTTTCAGATGCTTTTAGAAGTCTTCATTATCTTGCCTGATGGTCGGAGGCACGTGATGCCTCTGAGCACTAAACAGCTGCAAGAAATGACTGTGAGCCTTCTCGAAGAGGAAGTGCTAAAAATGCTCATGATGAAAAGTAAGTAACCTATAAATTGTTAACAAATAAATAAAAATTATAATGATAAGTGCTTAATGACTCTACATTCATTATTTTTTTTATTTAAAAGAATCAATAACATTTTATGAAGTGCAAATGCCTTGGAAGATTTTTTTCTTTAAATTATTTTTTATTATTATTCATAATAAAAATATATTATTATATTATTAATTAACCGCTACGGATCACCTTTACTGACAATCACTCTGATGTGGCTCACTTTAATGCAGGGAACATGGTATAATTATTGATGACATATTTGTAGCTATGTTTATTTTAAAGACTGTAAAGTAAAATCCTCTCTGTCCTCTGTTAAGCTGTTGTAGGATACACTAAGGATGTTTTGAAGCTGCACATTGATGGCATGCCACTGGACAACGGCTTTGTACTAAAAATCAAAGCCGGCAAAAAAGTGCAGGCGGTGATTATGGTTCACGGAGGATGAAGGAGTCCATCATGAATTCATGTGACTACATCAAATTTACAGGATATACCGAACCATAAATACATGTAAAGAACAAAACACAAAATTCTGATTGAAGTCTTGCATCTATGGCTTTCCTTCTCCTTTGTACTTTCTTCACATTTTACGCCTCCTATCATACCTATAGTCAGCACTAATTCAGTATTACATATTAATAATGATTAATTGAGGTGCAAACGTTTTGTTTTTATTTTATTACCAAGTTTCTGGGGCTTCTGTTTTCGCAGTCAGAGGTGTGTGCCTGAGATGACAATATTAGGATTATTTCGTCTCACTGACATCACATAGATCCACTGTCTGAAACAGAGGATACAAACAATCAGTAAGGAAGCTCATATTATTATTGTTACAGGAAGAAATTAGAATAAATGTAACGATACACAGACGAACCTTCACAAAGTAAATACTGAAACAAACGAACACATTGATTGTCAATTTCCTATGTGATACATTATCTTTTTACAATGTACATGAATAAATGCACATCACCAAATGTTATTGTTTGGCTCACTGATGTCTGTATGTAAACATTGTGATTCACAAATGATCCTAGATTATATTTTAAAACGTAATTGTTCATTTTCTGTGACATGTTTTGTTCAGTTAACAATCACAACAATTAAGTAAATCTTTTTCACAATATGTTTAATGACTCAAAGCTAAATGTGGAAGAAATAAATAGGAATATGGCTTCCTCGTGGTTTGCATCATTTAACTTTGATAAAATAGAAGACTGTCTCAGAGAAATCAGACTGTCAATGAAAAAATTAAATGCAAAACGTTCCATTATGTAACCTCAAAGAAACGTTCTCTGAGGAAATTTCCACCTTATCCTGATTATTATACTAGTTTAGCTGTTTCTGTAAATACTTTAAAATCAACATTGGCACAACTAAACCACATTTTCCGATAACAAATTTAAAAAAGAGATCATATTTTACATGATGATTTTTACTTATCTGCATGGGCTCTAAGTAACGTCATGGCAGGAAGAAAGAAAAATCTACAAGCTTATATCAAATGAGGTGTTGCTAACTTGTTCAAATCCTGGCGTTGGAGCTTGGACAATTCAGGCCAATATTTTACTCAAATACATCAGGCCACATTTAAGTATTTTGTTATGATCTTTAATTTGAGTTTCTAGTTATACAGGTAGTGCAGAATTATTAGGCAAGTTGTATTTTTGAGGAATAATTTTATTATTGAACAACAACCATGTTCTCAATGAACCCAAAAAACTCATTAATATCAAAGCTGAATGTTTTTGGAAGTAGTTTTTAGTTTGTTTTTAGTTTTAGCTATTTTAGGGGGATATCTGTGTGTAGGTGACTATTACTGTGCATAATTATTAGGCAACTTAACTAAAAACAAATATATACCCATTTCAATTATTTATTTCTACCAGTGAAACCAATATAACATCTCCACATTCACAAATATACATTTCTGACATTCAAAAACAAAACAAAAACAAATCAGCGACCAATATAGCCACCTTTCTTTGCAAGGACACTCAAAAGCCTGCCATCCATGGATTCTGTCAGTGTTTTGATCTGTTCACCATCAACATTGCGTGCAGCAGCAACCACAGCCTCCCAGACACTGTTCAGAGAGGTGTACTGTTTTCCCTCCTTGTAAATCTCACATTTGATGATGGACCACAGGTTCTCAATGGGGTTCAGATCAGGTGAACAAGGAGGCCATGTCATTAGTTTTTCTTCTTTTATACCCTTTCTTGCCAGCCACGCTGTGGAGTACTTGGACGTGTGTGATGGAGCATTGTCCTGCATGAAAATCATGTTTTTCTTGAAGGATGCAGACTTCTTCCTGTACCACTGCTTGAAGAAGGTGTCTTCCAGAAACTGGCAGTAGGACTGGGAGTTGAGCTTGACTCCATCCTCAACCCGAAAAGGCCCCACAAGCTCATCTTTGATGATACCAGCCCAAACCAGTACTCCACCTCCACCTTGCTGGCGTCTGAGTCGGACTGGAGCTCTCTGCCCTTTACCAATCCAGCCACGGGCCCATCCATCTGGCCCATCAAGACTCACTCTCATTTCATCAGTCCATAAAACCTTAGAAAAACCAGTCTTGAGATATTTCTTGGCCCAGTCTTGACGTTTCAGCTTGTGTGTCTTGTTCAGTGGTGGTCGTCTTTCAGCCTTTCTTACCTTGGCCATGTCTCTGAGTATTGCACACCTTGTGCTTTTGGGCACTCCAGTGATGTTGCAGCTCTGAAATATGGCCAAACTGGTGGCAAGTGGCATCTTGGCAGCTGCACGCTTGACTTTTCTCAGTTCATGGGCAGTTATTTTGCGCCTTGGTTTTTCCACACGCTTCTTGCGACCCTGTTGACTATTTTGAATGAAACGCTTGATTGTTCGATGATCACGCTTCAGAAGCTTTGCAATTTTGAGACTGCTGCATCCCTCTGCAAGATATCTCACTATTTTTGACTTTTCTGAGCCTGTCAAGTCCTTCTTTTGACCCATTTTGCCAAAGGAAAGGACGTTGCCTAATAATTATGCACACCTGATATAGGGTGTTGATGTCATTAGACCACACCCCTTCTCATTACAGAGATGCACATCACCTAATATGCTTAATTGGTAGTAGGCTGTCGAGCCTATACAGCTTGGAGTAAGACAACATGCATGAAGAGGATGATGTGGACAAAATACTCATTTGCCTAATAATTCTGCACTCCCTGTAATCTTAATTATTTTTACCCTTTGCTCTTTTCACCACACCAATAAAGGACCAAACTGCCTGTCCATTTCTTGCTCCACTCTCCCATCACTTATTATACATGCCCTCAAAATACTTGATATCTTCCAATCAGGGCAGCAGTTCATCCCCGAAAAGTAGTGCTGATGGGCGCTCCACCCATTCAGCTGGAACCATGGCCAGACTTTAGGTGCTGATTCTCATCCCAGTTTCTTTACACTCAGCTTCATTAGCTGAAAATGAGTGAGCAATGAAAAAAGCTTGTCTTGTTACACCAAAAGAAGAAGCTGAAGCTTTTGATGCCTCACAGTCCCTGAAGTGAAGTGAAAATGTGTGGAAGAATCTTTAAAAAAAAGTTAACTTCTTTAACTGGTCAAACGGTGTAATTGGTGCATGACTCACATCACAGTGAAGCCGTTCATTACCTGCACAAACGTCGAGAGAAAAATTGTGAATTTAGAAGATCTTGCCCTGCAAGCAACAACATGCTAAACTGTAGAAGTCAAGCTTTTATTGCTTTCAAAGTGAAACCACATCATCTTCAGACAAATTTAAAGCTTCGGTTTTCATAGAATTATCTGCACTCTGTTCATTTGGATCCCACCTGTTATCCTTCTCAAATTTGATCAGTAAACACAGACACGGACCTCTGCACACACCAGGGAACGTCCCCAAGACTGTTTTACTTTGTTTTTGTCACTTTCATTTTCTTTCCAAGAGTTACAAGAAGTCATACGACTGCACTTCTATGGTTTTACTTTATATAATGAGAGTCTTAGTGCTGCTGCGAGTGGAGATTTATTTATGTGATGATTTATGGGTTTTATCACTTTATATTTAGTAAACTACCACCATGAAGTCAAAGTTGATCTGACCGGTGACGCTGTGTTTCTAGCATTATGACCTGGATTCATTATTTTATTTGGAGAGTTTTGGGGATTATTGTGTTACTTCTACAGTGTTCTGAATATGCATGTTAGAATTATTTAATATGAATGTTTGTAAAATAGGACTGATGAATCCACTCAGGGCCACCATTTGGCACAACAACCAGGATGTAAAGAAGCAAAAACCAAACCAAGCATTGTTCTGGTTACATAACAAACACTGATACAAACAGTTCTCGTTAGTAGGTAGTTTCCAATTTGCAGCTCAATGACCGTGTTTGAAAGCATGTTGTAAAACCAGATTTACTTCTACACTTAGCTACGAGGCATTATGATGAGCATCACTTACATGTTTCAGCTGTAGTTGAATTCTATCATTTACAGATCATCTTGGGTTCCATATTTAGATCTTAGTGTGTATTTTCTGTAATACACTATTTTCTGTGGCACAACGACCAGGTGCTGAAGGCAGTGATTTAGAGTTTAGCTTCATATCAGAATCTCAGACCTGCTCTTTTGACATGTGTATTATATATCATAAATCATAATGTGGATTTGGGGAAACATAAGTTCTTCTGTAAAATGTTTACCTCAGTGCAATTCATGCAGTGATCTACATGTGAATACGTTAACAATGATTTTAAATGATTTAAGCAGAGTAAAAATCATACAATCATTCTGAAACTAGAAATTTAGGTTAACCTTCAAACAGCTAAACTTTAATCAGATTAAGAGTCAAGTAATTTTATTTAGTCCATTATCAAATTTTTTGGTACAAATGAAAAACAAAAAATTGTTTTCCCTGCATTTCCCAACTCAACAGCATAAAGTGCTGAAGCTTTCTCCTGCTGAGACTGTATGAGTAACCTAACCTAACAATAATGAAAATATCTGTATTTTAACTCAGATACTGAATTATTTTAGCAGTAAAGTCAATATTTCATTTGTACCACATTTTATATAATGTATAATGAAGGATCTTATTTTTAGATGACAGTGTTCACTTACAAGAACTAAGGAATAAATAAAAATCCACAGGAGTTTTCTGGCTTTTCTTTACCACAAATAAATCTTTATTTACATTTTAGTAGTGACATTGATTAAACATAACTAAATTTTTCTAAAAGAAACCTTTTCTCTAAACAATTTATCGCCATCCATCCATTCGCTTCTGCTTATCCTTTTCAGGGTCGCGGGGGGCACTGGAGCCTATCCCAGCTGTCATAGGGCGAGAGGCGGGGTACACCCTGGACAGGTCGCCAGTCTGTTGCAGGGCCAACACACAGGGACAGACAACCATTTGCACTCACTTTCACACCTAGTGACAATTTGGATTATCCAATTAACCTATCCCCACAAGCTGCATGTCTTTGGACGGTGGGAGGAAGCCGGAGTACCCGGAAGGAACCCACGCAAACACGGGGAGAACATGCAAACTCCACACAGAAAGACCCCGGCCTGATGTTGGAATTGAACTCAGGACCTTCTTGCTGTGCGGCAACAGTGCTAACCACGTGGCACGTGCAACATGAAGATCACTGCAAGACCTGCAGTTAACATGAATAACTATGTTGTTTGTAGCTTGAAATACAAACAACATGTGTGATAAGGAGACGATATATGTTATACATGTAACTAACCAGAGGACAGCATGTGCACACACAGAATGTTTAACCTTATTCTAAAGTTTTTTTTAATGAATGACATTAGATTTATGCAGATTTATCATTGGACTTCAGACATGAGAGCTGTAAAGAACACATTTGATATTAAATGTCTCACAAATAAAACACAATTTTTATTCACAAAGTGATGTTATTAAAGGAGAGAATTTAAAACACAGCATAGTGCCATTTACATTTAGAAAAGACGCTCTCAATACAAAGAAAGTGAAACATATCAGCCTTGTGTCTTTCCCATTATTTCTTCTTCCAAACAGGTATAGAGGTCTGTCTGGGGGCAGGAGTGCACCTGATCTCCAAACATGTACTAGAGCGCTTCAGACATACAAAACAAAATGTCCCATTACATCGAGGGCAAAAAACTGATGGGCAACCCTTCTTGCTGTGCTGCAACAGCAAACCACAGGTTGGACAGGCACGGACTGAGGGACACACACGGACTTCAGAATCACACAATGTCATATCTGGGCATTTTTTTAGTGTTTCTAGTGACGGGTTGCAGCAGTCATCATTTTCACAGCGGTCTTTCCGAGGCCGTGCACCCTTCCATTCCCTCAAACACTGCCAGCAGAATTCAAACGGCCGTCCTTTTACTGCTGTGCACACTTTACAGAGGACATTCAAATCTGATTCATTCGCTCTCATCACAGCGGATCTGCAGCCAGGACACTACATGGAGACAGAGGTGGGACA